ATTACATTCATCTGTCATCATTCCCTGATCCCAGTGCAGGGGTGGAGGTAAGAGGAAGCATCTGAATGGCTTTCTTTAGACCAGCCAGCTTGTTCTCAACAGTTATTTCCGCCCCTGGGGTGGGAGGAACTAAGAGCGGCTCTGGGTGAAGCTTTCCCCCTCTCTTGACTCTGCTTTCTGGATGTTTCTTCCCCTGCTGAGTAGGCCCAGAGCAAGCCTGGAGGGAGGTAGCCTGTGATGGGAACACACCCAGAGGCCCTGCGCCTGTGCCGGGCCCCCTGGCTCCTGGGATTCACCAGCCTCCTCCTCAGTGAGTGACTCTGGTCTCTGGGCGGGAGGCTGCTGTGCGGGGCAGGGAGGGGGGCTCCTGTGGATCTGATGTCTGTGGGGAGGACCTGACACCACCTCTGTTGGAGGGCACGTGTGGGGCTTCTGGTTTCCAGCTCAGGGCAGAAGGGAAAGAGGACAATGAGCGTTTGGCTGTGGTGAAGCCTCACCTGGGTCCCAGGAGCCCTCACAGGGTCCACACGTGCTGGTCACTGACCCTTGGTTGCTGCATCAGATTGCTGGGGTTGTGAGTACAAGATCCCATAGACCTGATGGCTTGAACCACATCAAGCTGTTGTCTCACAGTCCTGGAGGCTGTGATCCAAAATCAAGTTTGTGACCAGTGTCTGATGGGAGGGATGGAGATCTGTGCCGTTGGGACCCATGGCATTTGTGTCCTGACTTGCTTAGAGGGACCTGGTGGCCGTGTCCCCTGCCGTCTCTGTGCACCTTGTCTGTGCCGTGTCGGGGTGGGTCCTGCACCCAGGGCACGTGTCTGCCCCGACCTCGTCCTGCACTGGGGGTCAGAGGACGGTGACCTCTGGAGGGAAGGGACAGAGGAGGGGCCGGCAGGGGGCTGAGGACTGAATCCCTGTCATTCTCCTGGCCGGCCCGGGGCAGGGATAGTGTGACCACCTTCCCACTGATGCAGGAGCTGAGGGCCTGGGCCTGAGGGCTAAGGGGTGCTGGGCCCAGGGTGAGGGCCCCAGTCCCATGAGGGAAGCTGGAGGGACTGGGGTGAAGGCCGACCATGCATCCTCACTGACCCTGACATGGGCCTGCCCAGGAAGGGACAGGATCCACTTCTGTCAGTGCCATCCCAGTCAATGCTGCTGTGTCTCCTGCATTGACCCTGGGGTCCTTGAAATTGACCATGTGGGCTCACAGCCTGTGCAGGTCAGGACCTGAGGCAGATACACTGGGGGCTGAGTCCCTGGGCCTCTGAGACTGAAATCCAGGTCTGTGTGGAGCTTAGGGAGCTCAAGGTCAACTGGGAGGATGTGGTCTCCCTCACCCCTGCACTTGAGGAGGGAAAGTAGATCCTGGGGCTAAACTGATGCCTCCCTCCTCATGGGTGCTGGCCTGAGGTTGCCCTCCATCCCCACAGCATGGATGTGCCCACAGCACAGCCTCAACATGGCAGCAGGCTCATCAAAGAAGTGAGGGACAGGGTGTGATTGAGACGGAAGTCACACTCTTGTGAGACCTGCTGTCACTGAGTGACGTCCATCACTTAAGATGAACTCCGCTCCTCAGAGCAAGTCACAGGGTGCAGCCCCTACTGCAGGGCCAGGGCTCCCTCGGTGTGTGGACTTTGGGGCCTCTGCAGCCACATAGGAAGCTCCTTCTACACTGTGCACTGGGCATTGACCCAATGTGCTCAGTGGTTTCTACCCGTGATGTCATCACGTCCAGACTCTCAGATCAGGCGGTTAAGACACTCAGGTGAGCATTTAGGACCGTGTTCAAGGGGATGCCCCACCAGGACCAGGACATGATTCCAGCCTCGCTCCAGGTTCGCGCTCTGTCCCGCCCCCCGGAGTCAAGGGATCCACTGGGTGGAGTTCATTACCACGATGGGGTCTATGGTTTTCTCCTCGTTCTTAATTAAACACACTCACACTTTGTGTTTCCAATGCCCTAGGCGACTTCAGCACTGCGGTCAGAAGCTCTGGGGCCCATGGATCCAGAACAGAGGATTCTAGAAACCTAGTTTCCCTGAAGGGGACTCAAGGAGGTTCTGTGTTGTTCCATGTGACCAGACGTCCAGAAGTACCTCCTGAAGCCAAGCTGGAGAAGATTTCTTGGGCCGTTAAAAACGAGTCAAACTACATACTCCTCCTGCATGTGTCTCCTGGGGTGGATGTTCCAGAATGGGTCACCTCCAAGGACAAGTTCAAGAAGAGGCTTCATGTGCACCACACTACGACCCTGAGGATTGACAAGCTGACCCTCGAGGACAGTGGGTGGTATCGGGCTCGATGCTCCTTCAGCACAGGGATAGAAAATGCCCAGTATTTCCACCTCAGTGTCTACGGTACGTGGTGGCCCCTCCCCCAGGACAGGCTTACCCCCTGCTTTGGTCCCTGGGAGTGTCCATGGGCCCCTTGCAGGATCCCTTCCAGACCCCAGACTTGAGGCTCTGCTTCTCCCCTGAAATCAGAAGCAGCGTGTTCAGCACGAGTGGAGGCGGGGCTGAGACTCCCAGCAGGGGTGGATCCCTCGGTGCTTCAGGACGGAAAATGGATATTTGGGGAGGTGGGGTTTTGCTTGAACCCTTACTGTGCTCACGGGACACGTGTCCTTAACTGGTGTGGTGGCGGCTGTTGCTGCTGTCACAGATGGACCCACAGGTGTCTTAGTGCAGCCTCAACCACATGTGCACCTGTGTGTGGGTCAGGGTCAGACCCGGAGACACTGTGATGAGGGTCAGGTGTCCACAGGGCCGTGCTCCTTTTGGAGTCTCCAGGAGAGGATCCGCATCTTTCCTGTTCAATCTTGTACTGGTGGCCGCATCCCTTGACAGGTGGCTCCTTTCTCCACCTTCAAAGCCGGTCCTAGAAAGCTGAGTCCTTTTGGTTGTGCATCCCTCTCCCCCTCCTCCCCTCCTCCATCCATGTGTGAGGACACTGTGATCCCACCGCTCATGTCCAGCGATCCAGACCTTCTCTAGTTTAGGGTCAGCTGTTTCGCTACCTCAGTTCCCCTTTGCCATGGAACCTAAGACATCTCAGGCTCTGACAGTTAGCACGTGGTCGTCTTTGGGGACAGTGATCACCAGTCTCATACACAACCCATGTGGGATCCTCCCTGCCCTGTCCCTCCTCCTCTACACCAGCCCGAGGCCCGTTCACTCCCAGACTCCCCGGACGCAGGAGATGTTCACAGGGTGACCGTTCCTCAGACACGCAGTCAGCCCACTCTCTGTCTCTGTCTCTGAGCCCCCTGTGGAGGGAAACATCCTGCTCCAAGGAGAGCGGATCCTTCAGCCTCAGGTCCCTGAGGTCCCCACACTGCCCGTCAGTCTGTCTCTTGTCTTCCACGTGGACGGCAAGTTTATGCACGTTCTAAATGAGCTCAGGGTGTCCATTCCTTGGGTCCCCACTGCGTTTCCCACAGTGGCCTCTCTGCTGGGGGCCGGGGACCGTTCTCGGGGCACCAGAGCTGCCAGGTGGAAGTTGTGCACCTCGGGCCGTGCGGTCCCGGCCAACATTCAAGCGTAGGAGGAGGGATCCCAGGCATGAACAGGACAGATCCTTCCGTACCTTTCTTGTGTCTTCAAAAGTGTTTTTTTTTAATTTTAAATTTTTATTGAGTTTTGAGAGAGAGTGACAGACAGAGAGAGCATGAGCAGGGGAAGGGCAGAGAGAAGGAGACAGAATCTGAAACAATATCCAGGATGTGAGCAGTCAGCACAGACTCCAAGGTTGGGCTTGAGCTCATGAAATGTGAGATCATGACCCGAGCCAAAGTAAGACGCATCATTGTGCCCATAAGATGCCCCTTGTCTTCTCTTTCTTTTAGGAGAAATGCCACTTTCTTAGAAGAATTGGGTTCTAGTAAGAGGGGTCTATATGTATTTTCTCCAGAGACAATTTGAGATGTGCTCAGTCTAGTGAAATCACCTGGGGCTCCACTCAGTATCTCCGGTCCTTAAAATTTGTTTTTTAATGTTTTATTTATTTCTGAGTGAGAGAGAGAAAGAGTGAGAGCAAGTGAGAAAGAGAGAGGGACAGCATGAGTAGGGGAGGGTCAGAGAGGGAGGAAGATACAGAATTTGATCCAGGCTCCTACTCTGAGACAGTGGTCACCACAAGTCCGACGCCGAGTTCGAACCCACGAACTGTGAGATCATGACCTGAGCCGAAGTCCAATGCTTAACTGACTGAGCCACCCAGTATCTCCTTCCTTATAGTCACTTGTTGTACATTGAGGTCAGTTCTGTCTTATCTGTAAAATGGACTCACCATCCTCCGGGGAGGAGCCAGGGCGTCAGTGAGATTCTGCACAAGGAAGCAGGAGTGTGATGCTCTCCACTCACGGGACACCCTGTCCTTTGTCCCTCCTGCCCAGAGCCCGTTCCCCGTCCCCAGGTCCTGGCCAAGGTTCTGTCCCTCACACGAGACTGGTGCAACGTCACCCTGGAGTGCCACACCCCGGGAGCCACAGGGGCCATGAACGTGTCCTGGGAGAGCAAGGGCCTCCCCAGGGAGCTGGAGCAGAGAGGGGCCCCAGGACCGGCCCCCAACCCCTGGACCCTGGCTCTGATCCTGCCCCTGAGCCAGCCCAGCCCCAGGGTCACCTGTGTGGTCAGCAACCCGGTGGACCAGAAAAGTGCCACCCGGGACCTCGGGGAAGTGTGTGTCCACGGTGAGTGTTCCTGCCTGAGGGGAGGGGACTCCTGGGACTCAGGTCCCCCTGGTGAGGGTTCCGGGTTCTGTCCCCCATATTTATGTCACCATCTGCCCCCTGTCACCCCGTCCAGGAGGCTGGCAGGTGCATCCAACTTGCTTCTGCTTTCCGATGTCTCTCTCCCACTCATCTGCACCCCTCACCCCTGCTTGTCCAGGCAGCCCCCCTGCATACCTCTCCCCTCCCTCATCCCTCAGTCCTTGTGTGTCCCGGGAGGTTTTCAGGAAAGCGTGTAGGGGTGAGTCAGTGGTGTGTGGCACCTGAGGGAGGCTCCCCAGCCGCTGCCTGCAGGGCTCAGGGCTCGGGGCTCCTGTGCCCGGTTCTGGCCTCAGGGACACACGTCCCCCCACGTGCTCGCCTGGGTTCCCGGATGTGTCCTGCTCTCCTCAGCCCCGGGTTCTGGTCATGCTGCTCCCTCTGCCGACAGACCTTCCACGTCCAGAGTCTCCCTTCCCACTCACTCCCGTCCAGGGACACTTCTCTGCAGCCGCCCCACGGGGTGTGACCCTGCAGGCACACAGGGCTGCAGGGGCTTCACGTCCATCAGGCAATGACCTTGACCAGGACCCTCAGCCCTGAGGGCACCAGACCCTGCCTACGCTGCCACTGACCTTTCCTTGCACTTCCGTCCTCTAGGGGGCGCTCAGGGCCCCACACTGAGAGGTGCTGCTCTGGCCAAGGGTCAGTGTCCTGTGGGGCCTGGACAGCTGGGGGCGGGGCCACGGCTGCTCCTGCTGTGACCTCCTGTCCCACATGGGCCTCGGGCCGTTTGCTCCCAGTCAGGTGTCCCCGAGGGAAGAGTGACCGGGTCCCCTGTGTGCCGTCTCGTCCCCACACCCCACCTCCCCCTGTTGCTGGGGACCTGCTGCATCAGCGTCCCCGAGTCCCCGAGGAGCCCATCCCTCAGCGACCCCCAGACCCTCTGCAAGAGGCTCCTGCCTCCCGCTCATCCTCCTCCCCGGCTCCTCCCTGCCCGGGTCCTCCTCCACCTGCTGCAGGGGTGCTGGCTGCCCCCAGGGCTGGTGATTGGACACGGTGTTCCTGGTCTCGTCCCTCCTTCCTTGGTCCACACCCCCCTGAGCATCTGGTAACCTCCCCCTCCTCCCTCAAGGCTCGGTGCATCCCTCACCTCCCCCGGGAAGCCCTCCCTGAAGGCCTGCGTACCTGCTGTAAACCTCTAGTGCACCGCATGGCCCTGGCGGCTGCCTGTGCGTGTCCCAGCCCCGCCCCCTCTGACGAGCTCCTCCAGCGCGGGGACCCTGTCCTGTTCCTCTCAGCACCCGGCCCCCAGCAGGGCTCAGCACTGGTTGGTGAAAGCACCTGCCATGTCCCCCCTCTCCAGCTGAGACCCGCCCCTTCAGACGCCTCCACGTGCTTGGCAATGGGCGTCTGACGTTGTCCCTTGTCTCATCCTTCTTCACCGTCCCTGAGGGAGAAACAGGTCCACACGGACAGGCCGGTGCGTCTTTACTTCGAAACATCCTGGGGGCTCTTGGGGTCGTGCTGCTGGTCCTCGGAGCTGGGCTGTACCTGCGGTGCTCACGTGGGGAGAGGAAGAGCTTGGAGCCTGGGAGAGGCAGGTGCTCGTCTCCTTCCCCTGCCCACACTCCTCCCCCCCTCCCCCACTGACCCTCAGCTCCCTCCCCTGCATTTTGCTGCTCAGGGAATGTCCCCCGGGAGGCTGGTGGGTGTGGGCATCACCGTGGGGTCCTGGTGGGGGGAGGGCAAGGTTCCCAAGGCTCAGATTCAGCTCCGTGTGTGTGGGGCTCAGGTGCAGGGTCGCAGGAGAAGCCCAGGGACCATGGTGGTGGCGTCCATGAAGCCATGCAGGTGTCCCGGGACAGCAGGGACAAGGTGAGGCTGGGTCCCCCCCGTCCCTGTGAGCCTGGGTGTGAGTTGGTCAAACCCACTCATCTGCACTTTCTGGCCTCGTGTTTGTATCCCTTCCAGACATGAAGTATTAACACGGGTCCATGCAGTGCTGGGCGCTGTGGGGGGAGGTCATGTGAACAGCTCGGCATCTGTGGGGTCCCTCTGGGGCCTCCCTGTTCCTTTGTCTGCATTCCAGGGATCGAGTGAAGCACATTTACAACAATAGACCCCTCTCCGTCCTGTTTACACTGAGGTCCGCACGCCAGGCCAGGTCAGGATGGAGATTTAACTGGAAGCAACAGGGAATCCACCCTCGGTGATACCTCATTATGAGTGTGAAGCCTGAAACCCTGGTCCCGCCCCTTCCCCCCCCCTCCCCGACTGCTCTGTGCAGAGTTGGATTTAGGCAACATTTGTGAATTTCTACACGAAGTCCTTGTGTACAAGTTCACCAGAGGACCCAGGTCGTGGTAGATCAAGGGGTCCTGAGTATGTAAATGGGTCCAAAACTGTATTCCAGTTCCGCTCAGCCTCAGTTCCTTGGCCTCCCTACACAGACCCCAGGTTCCCCACATGGACGACATCAGTCTGTCAGAAATGTCAGCCTCTGGGACAAAGTCATTATGCAGTCAAATCATCCAGCCTCATCCAGTTAAAATCTCCCAGCTGTCAGGATATGTGTTCTCTCTCTGTCTCTGTCTCAAAACTTAATAAATAACACTTAAAAATGAAAATAGATGAAACTGTCTAAGATCTACTCTGGCTTTGTATTTTCAATCTTAGTTTAAAAATGTGTATTTTCTGTGACTATGACTCCGCCCTCAGCAGGTTCCCCACCCGCCCCTCCCGCTCCGTCTATACTGGCCCATCCTCTGCTGGTCAGCGCCCAGCCCTCCTCTCTCCCCAGGGGACTCCAGCTAAGCCCTGGTGGGAGCCTGGCTGTGCTGAGGCCACGTCTCCAGTCCTGACTCGACACCCTCTCGCGGCTCCTGATCGACATCTGCTCTTGGAAGCCAGAGTTTACCTGCAGGAAACTGAATTTTTGTCTACCAGGGGCCTCCCCCAGCTCTGATGATATTTCTCCCTGGATCAGGTCCCACCATCCACCCACTCACTTCAGCCAAACACCTAAAGTCCCCTTCGCTTCGTTTGTTCCACTCTGGCGTCCACACCATGGACAGCAAGTGTGTCCAAATTTAGCCCTCTCTGTGCACAATCTTCTCACTGAACCCCGCATCGTACTGCAGTGCACGGACCCAACCTCCTTCCTGTCTGCAAATGTGCAGGTCCAGAACCTGGACCGCCTGGACCTGGCAGTGTAGGGGGGGTCTCCACACGGGGCTCATCCTGAGGCATTCAGGAATTTGGGTGGGAGAGGAGAGTCCCAGGTAGGCAGCCCTTTCCTCAAGTGCATCTGTTTCCCCTTTCTGGGGCTGTTGTAGCGAAGAGAGACAAACCTGTGGGTGGTGGAGGGGCATGACACGTTTCCCAGTGTCTCTGGCAGGTTAAGGGCCACCTGTCACCTCCACTCCTCCCTACTCTCTGCTCTGCCCTCCCCCCTTCCCCTGCCCAGCACCTGTTTCCCAAGGAGACTCTGGAGACCTGCAGCAGCAAACACCCTGGGACAGGCAAGGGCCCCCCAGGAGCCTGGCAGACACGCTGACTGTGCACCCTGCTCTTGCCTAGGCCGCCCTGGGCCACCCTTCCTCATCGCCCCCCTCCCCACCCCACCACCCCTACACACCAGGCTGGCCGCCCCAAGGGCTCTTCCCAGGGTCCAACCAGAGACAGTCGCGGAGAACCAGGCAGCAAGGCTGGGGAGCGTCCTGAGCACGGCTGGGCTGCTGTCAGGGCAGGGTGCTGGGTCAGGGGCTTCCCTGAGTCCCAGCCTCATCAGGTGCAGGGCTTATAGGTGAAGCTGTGTGCACAGCATCCCCAGGTGGACGATTTTGTAGGGGTGGCGGACACACCCATCTGTTCCAATCCCACCTTCAGGGCCCCAAGGAGCTGGTCCCTCCTGGACACCGCAGGGCAGACAGCACAGCCCTCCCTCCGGCCCAGGCCAGGGCAGCTCCGCTCAGAGTCAGGTCTGAGAAAGGAGTTCAGGAGCCAAGTTCTATCCCGGAGCCCGGGGCGTGCCTCCCACCTGTCCCCTGGTGTCTCACCTGCCCAGCAGGTGGTGGGTCACAGGGCAGCTCTGAGGCCCTTCCCGCCCTGGGGTCCCCGGTCTCTAAGTCAGGGTGGAGTTGATATGGCTCCTGACACCTCTCTGATCTCAGTCTCCTCCCTGTCTTACCTGGACTCACGTAGGCTCTGGGCACCTGACTCTCCCTCTTGGAACACGACAGGCCTTGTCTTGCCTGAGGCCATGACATGGGCCATCACTTCCCCCAGGCAGGCAGTTCCCCAGATGTCCAGGGTCACTTCTCACCTCCTGTGGGTCTGTTTTTAGAGGTGTCCTTGGTGACACCTGCTCTGACCTCGTAATGTGACTCCAGATCCCCACTCCCCTTCTTCATTGCGGGCACCTCCTAGGGCCTGTCTCCTCCTGGGAAAATGAGTGCGGGGCGGAGCCTGTGCCGGGAGCTCGTGGACGTGTCTGTGCACCTGGCCCAGGGGCTGGCACACAGCAGGCACTCATGAGCAGGTCGTGGAAGGAAGGAGTCCACCGTCCGGGAGGGTCTGGGTTGGGGGCCCACAGTCCCCCCTCAACAGCTCACATCAGTGCATCCATGGGGTCCCACTGCTGCGACCAGATAGGGCTCAACAAACAGGAGCAGCTTGTCCATGAGCTGCCCTGTGGGGAGGGGGGGGGGCTGGTGGGGAGAACACGGCCCCGCCAGGCCAGTGTCACTCACCGTGTCCAGAAATGGGCACCCGATTTACCTGAATCAGGATTTTCAGTGCTAACTAGGGGGGTGGGTTCTGAGAGACCCTCCTCTGCATCGGGGGTGGGGCCCGCAGGTCAGAGGAATGTGGGAGATGCTACAGGCAGATCCCTCCTGAGATACACTCCCTACTCCTGTGGGGACATCTGATTATTTATTTACGTTTTTCTAGATGGGTGATATTAGAAAGGTAACCCATTGTTTTAAGTTTTTAAGGTTTATTTATTTTAAGAGAGAAAGAGCATGAGTAGGAAGGGACAGAGAGAGAGAGAATCCTGGGGAGACTCATGGTGTACAGCAGACATCAACAAGGGGCTTGAACCCACAAAACTGTGAGATCATGACCTGAACCAAAATCAAGGGATGGACGCTTAACCGACTGAGGCACCCAGACGCCCCAGGAAACACTTTAGATGCTTTAATCAGATTTCACAACATATATGACTCCGGGATCCACGTTCCTTCTTTCTCTTTTAGTGCAGAGGCCCTACGGAGCTCCTCTAATTAGCGTGTGATTCTTGGCCTGATCTGGGAAATTC